GGGAGCAAGGATGGCCCCGCCGGCGCTACCGAGTGTGACACAGACACGGTTTAAGAAAAAATTTACTAATCAATTAGTACTTCTGCCAATATTGCAACAGATGTGAAAGGCAAACACCGTTACAGTTTAGAAAAAACGAGTTTTATACAATTAAAATTTTAAACAAATCTCAAAAAAAAAAAAAAAGAAGTGGCTGAGTATTAAGCCTGGAAATTCAGATCCAGTATTAGCACCTACAATACCACCACAAGCCAAAACACTCCCCCTGTTCCGCTTAAGTCTTCTCCTTTTCTAAATTCTTGAATTCCTCTACAATTGGACAACGATGCTCAGAACCTAAACCAGGACATCCTTGCTTTGATAAGGGAAAAGGATAGAAGAGAAAAATATTAAGCCAGCTTGGTTTGTAGGAACTTTACTTCTGCAGGTATTGCTGAGGAATGTCAATGCATGGGGTGTACTAAATAATGCACAGCTCTACTTTTCAATAGTGTACCAGCAGACAAAATTAAGAAACCATCTTACACAACATCTAACAGTTTGTCAAATCAATGTTTTCCTATAAATTATATATAATAAATCCATAAAGAAACAGTTTTACACGTCACATATTAATCAGAGTAGGGGAGGAATCATTATGTTTATTGGTTCAGCGTCCATTTCATTGTACCTACTGTTTCACGAATGAACAGACCCCCCTCTTCTGGTGAGCACTGACAGATGCAATAACAGCACAGCTACAGTGGCAGAAAAAACACCAGTATTAAAGTCCAGCTATTCCTCTCCCTTCTAGGAACAACCAAAACATTAAGACAAGTAACACTTTGCCTTTTAGTTTTCCATGAGAATCAGCACAGGAAACGTAAAACACTCATTGCCTTGAGTCACTTCTCACCAGGCAGAGGCACTTTGTATCCTCTCACTCCACCAGTACTGAACTGGAGGGAAGGCCTCGCTTCTGGAAAACTCCCCAACTCTGACTTGTAGCTTTCCAAAGCCCGACTGATGTACAGAAGCGTTTAAGAACTAGGGAGGAACAGCACTGCGCTTACGCGACTAAAACTAGACTTCCATTGGCTAAGTGCCCCGTTTCTTTCAGAAGAGTACGTAGCTTTACCACTTCTGTTTTTTCTTGGAAGAAAAAAAAAGAAAAAAAAAAGAGTGATCTCATTGCTTGAAAGTTTGCCACAAAATGGATGCTGATCAGCTAGGTCACCCCATGCGGAGCAGTTTTAGGAAGTTAGTCCTTGTAGTAGATGGCACTGTGGATCTGGCAGCAGAGAAAGGAATGATGCTCTAAAGTAGGAGGTAGGGGAACTTTGATATAGCAAGTCCACTGTTGAGCTATCTGCTAGGAAAAAAGTATCATTATTAGAAACTACTACCAAATAAAACCAACAAAACCCTACACAAACTTTTACATAGCTATTATTTGTTGTTATCTTAGGAGGTATGTAGCAGGAAAGGCAGGGTTACCACGTGCTCTGAACCTTACGACACAAAAACTTCAAGAGAATAAAAAAAGATTTTCATCTATAGAGCAAAGAACAGTTTTGAACATAATACAGGTTTATGCACATGTACACAATCAAGACCTGAATTCCTCTAAAGGTAAATCTGGTATCATCTGATCTGTATGAGCATTTGGTGGCATAATGCCAAGTACTGACACCTCTACTTATTCAGAAAACCCAGACCTCACAAGACATGTGAACAACCTCTGATTACGTTCAACAGTGGGATAAATATTCTGTCTCAGTATGACAGAATCTACCCCTCTGAGCACAGAAAACAGGCTGAGATTGGTTGAGATGGATCTACTATAAGGTTAACAGGTACCTGAGACTCCAGTTTTATCTTCCACTGGTCACACCTCTGTCTTCATAAATGGTAATTTCAATCTGCACACAAAAGCAGTTAGGGAAACATGCTATAAAAAGATCATGAAAATTAAAAAAAAAAGTGGAAAAATATTAAGTTGTTAGAACCTTTGATCTTTCTGCTTCATACCTGCTGTTCCCAGGCTAATTTCAGAGCTACAGAACAGCACACACGAGAGAGGCCCTGTCAGGTCAGATCAGTGGTCTGACCAGCCCACGACTGTTCTGACAAGAACACAGATGCTGTGCACGGAGGGTTTGTGAGCCGTGCCACCTTCTGTTAAATCTCAGGAAAGGCTACGTGCTACACAAAAGTTAACACTTCTACAGTTCAGCTTCTAAGTTACTAACCAAACTGAAAATGCTTTTACTCAAGCTGGATGTTTTTCTTCAGGAGGTGTATGCATAGAAAACTGTGGAAAACATTGAGAATAATGACGTCATGTAGGTGACAGCTATAAGCTATTTAGACAAATACACAGATAACCCAACTGCAAGGAAGCAGAATGCATTTAATTGGCATTCTGTGTTTCAAATTGCTTCTGTTTCAATATTCTCAAAAAATGACACACATTACTCCTTCTACCCCTACATTTGCTATGTGAAGTGTTTACGACTGCTAAGGTAGTAACTAGGTAAAATGCCTGCAGTTCAAGGGTTGAAGAAAAAAGGTGAAAGTAAGCCAGGCCAGAACCAAGAGCAAGCGCTAGGCTGGTATCAACTCACAGTGATGTCACCCGGCAAAACCTTCACCAGAACCCGAGCTGAGGATCGCAAATTAAACAACACCCATCTCTTGTTTTCACGTTATCAATTGCTGTCCTACCAAGTTCGTCACTTTTTCCAATCGCAAAAACTGCATTTTGAGAGGTCACTGAAACAGAGGAAGCATTTGAAGTGTTGGAAGCACTCTGTTTATACACAGTGCGTTTTCAAGGAAGTCTCAAAGGACAGATCCCAGCACTGCATTTTCACTGTCTTTTGATGTGACAAATCTCAATGTGCTATAACCTGGCCAGAGAACAGTACACAGCGGAGAGTAACAAGAGCAATGACACAGTCTGCCATACCACAGATCAAGCACGACCAGAGAGTGCCATACTGACACAAACAGGTAGCACATCATAAATGGACAAACCAGGAGACAATCTAAGAGAACACAGAAGGATACAACTCTTAGTCCTCTTTCAATGGGGTCTGTCAGAAGGAGGCCCTGAGGAGCATAGATCTTCTCGTTCTGTTCCTGAATGAACTTGGCAATTTTCTTTAGAACCTGGTAACAGAACAACACAGAAGTCACAGTTCTTTGATCAGGTTTGCCTACGCTGGAGTCAGAGCCCCAGCAATATCACAGCCAGAGCGACGTCAGGAGAACCTAGCACAGAACTAGAGACAGAACTTGTGTGACTCCTCTGAAGCACTCCCAATCATTACATTACTCAGACTGACTACTACAGACAAGCCTGACCGAGGTATGTTTGCAATCACTCTGTAGTAAGACCCAGAGTCCATGTGGAATTTGTATGGCAATGGTGCCAGTCACAGAAATAAGTCTGCGACTGAAGCCTTTGAGACACACTGCCTTCCCAGGAACAAGGCAAACAAAGGAAGGGCACCTTTTCGTAATGCGTTTCCATGCACAAGAAGATGGTATAGGCAGTCAGACAGGCGAGACACCCTTCAAGGTAAGATTGGCCCCCAAGTTTCTCAGCTTCTGCATAGAGGTTATTCAGTGTTCGGACAGTCTCTTCGAACTGCTGCCTATCGATCTGCAAGAGAAGTCAAGTTTAGCTGTCATGCCCTGCACGTTTCAGAATTCACTGGTGTCTTCAGGTATCTACCTTCTTTTATCGCTATTTGCACTTCCACACTTTGCAGCCACTGTGTTTAGAGCCAAAGTCTGAAGGACACATTGAGCTACAGACCTGTAGTTCTTCACTAAATATCTGCGAAGTGGTTAGACCAAGTCTGAATTCCAACACAATGTGAACACAAAACACTTAAGAATTACATAACTAAACCAACATGCAACTTAACTGGGGGAAAAAAAAAAAGCATAACTCAAACACAGAGAGATCTGCTAGATTAAAAAGAGCAGTTAGGGAGTGGATTGACACAGCTAACTCTTAATATCAACAATGCCTTGCTGCTGCTGCAGTGCTGGTCAAACAGGCTCTCAACAAAACAAAACAAAGGAATGAGGAAGAGAAAAAAAGCACAGTGAGAAAAAGAAAGGGCATTAGCATGGAGTGTTTGTTTTGCTGTCAGTTGAAGATATTACATCTGACAGCAGTAAACAAAATGAAAGTACTTGAGACAGTACTTGTGGGGCTCCTGGACAGGCTCAGCAGAACTGGCTGGGCTCCACAAGAGAGGCCAGTGTTGATGCTCCACAGTACAACAACGCAGGCTTTGTCCTCACGCGCACAATGAACACGTTCTGTTTTACTGCTACAAAGAACAGCTGCCTCCCTCGGCATTAAAGAAAGCAGAAAACCAAAGCATGTCATAAACACCAAAGAGAAGCATTTTAAACTGCTTTTGATGCCGCTCTTCGCTGCACATTAGAAGTATTTGCTTACTGCAATATGATCAAAAATGCCGTTTGGTCAACAAACGACGCTTTTATGCCAAAAAATAAACAATATCCAAAGCAGGATATGGTTTTAAACTTTGCAATCGTGCCTCTCACACACTACGCACAGGGCTGCAACAAAAAGAGAGCATTAGAACGCGCCGGGAACCTTTACGTTCGAGACTTTAGCACAGCCCCCTCGGGGAGTGCCCGAGGGCGAACCGATCGCAGGAGAGGGGCGCAGGGGAGAACGCCCGCCCCCGCCCCTAACCCCTCAGGTAAAGGCGCGCAGGTCTGTGCAACAGACCGACCGCACGCTCCCGACAGACGCGGTGCGG